CCTCCCACCCTCTTTTCACCCTACATACCTTCAGGAAGGCATCCATCTCTCCCACGGCCGGGAGGTAGTCCGGGATAAAACATTTCAAGGGGGTTTCTAGTTCGCAATCGTGAGGTTGATAGCTGACAGAAGCGTAAGCGGCGAAAGAAAAGAGAGCAAAAGATCTGAGTCGAATGGTTCAACCCTCACTCGTAGTCCTCGATCTTATGAAGAAAGTGAGAGGGAGAGAAAGAGGTGGCCTGCTTGATACACACATCGCTTACCGTGTCACGAATGCCAGAACCTCTCGTACTTCTAAGGGTAAAGAGGGCAGCATGTAGGCATACTCCTGAGGGTCATAGGCGCTGGTGAGGAGAGAGGAAGTGACGTGACAATTGAACAAGAAAAAGAAGGGAAAGAATTAGTGGATAATAGGCCGAAGTTATGTGCCAGGGCAAATGTCCCCGCTCCCCAGAAACACAGCATCCCTCCGGTTGCCTGCATCTCCCCGCCCCCTTAAAAGTCCTCTTTCAGGATCCTCTCCCTACTTACCCTTCCACGTGTCCCACAGCCCCTGAATTCGCCGGCGCTTTCTCCGGGATACCCGTCGTCAGCTGTTGTTGCTTCAGGGGGAAAGGGAGCTGTGCACCTTCTCCTTCTTCTTGCCCTTCATCTCCTCTCTGTCCATCTTCCCTCTCTTCGACCGCACCCCTCCTTCCACCCTCCTCGTCCCCTGACATCGACTCTATATGTCTCTCACCCCGCCTTTCCCCCTTCTTTCCCTGGTATTGCAGCCCACCACCCTTCTTCTCCTCCTCCGTTGGCAGCTCCCCTGGCCCCTCTGCCTCCCTTTCCCCTCTTCCTGCCCCACTAGAATACGTCTCCTTGCTCCTCTCGCTCTTTCCATCTGTGGGCAGGTCCATCCCTTGCCTGTTCTGTGGCCGTCGCCGCTGTTGTTGCGGGGCAGAGATGGAAGGCGAGAGTTCTCGATCGCTTCGCGCTCGCAGGCGGGTGGACGGGGAGGAAGAGGTGGAGGGAGGGGAGAAAGGTGGGAGGGTGGAGGGAAGACGGGCAGCAGGTCCTTCGAGCTTCGCCTGCGGGCGGTCCATCCCTTGCCAGGGGTGCTCCTATAGGTAGGGATTACCAGAGGTAGCCATAGGTAGGACAAAGATTAGAGCCGAGCGAGGCCTTGCGAACACAATCATCCTTTTCCTGAAACCTGAAGGCGGGGGCCATGGACGGGAAGCGACACCAGATAAGGGGCGGGGGAAAAGCTTTACCTTGCCAGTTTCCATGTTCTTTCCTCCATCCGCGAGCGGTGCGAAGTCATGCTCCTCCATTCCTTCGAACCGGGGGCGTGGTGGAGATGCAAAAACCAGGGGCTGTCGGTCTTCCTCTCCTCCCCTCCCTTCCCCGTCCCCTTCCCTGCCACCTTCCACCGAGAATTCTGTGCTTAGTTCCAAGGAGGAGGCAGTTTGCATGGTGAAGGAGGCAAGTTGCCGCTGCGGGAGGCCCAACTGGTTGATAAACACGAGGAGGGGTCTTTTCCTTTCAGGCTATTTGCTCAATCTTTTCCTGATCATATTGTGAAGGACGTAGTGGATGGGGAGAAGGGTATGAGGACGGCGTTTGAACGAGTGAACGGACGTGAAATTAAAGAAAGATGTGAAAGAATTGTACAGGGCATTGATCATGCATTGCAAGAGTTCAAGAAGATCTTTTAAGCTGCGCAGCGGGGAGGGTAACTTCGCTTGAATGAGTATACATGGTATTTTAGGTAGAATGTCGCTTGTCTGCATGCATCTTTTCCGGAGTAATCCCATTGTACAAATTTTCACTTCTACTACATGCGCTCATAACCAAATAGAAAGTGGATTGAGGACATCCTTCCAAGCTTGTGGGTAAAATAATGAAACACATTTCGACAGGCTGATGATGTCGTTAAAGAAAGAGGAAAGAAATAAGCATGGTGACTGGAGACTTCTACCCTGTAATCGCTGCGGTTTCAGTTGAATCATGTAGCCTTGTTACGATTGAGCCTAGGCTACTGATAACTCAAGTTTTCCCCGAATGTTGACTATCGGGCCTCGAAAATGTGATGGAATGTAGGGAAATGAGCGAGCGTAGCTGGGAAGGCAAGCAGGAGACGACCTGCCAATCCTTTAAAGAAAACGAAGTGACGGATAAGCATGTCGAGTCCTGAGGAAAGGATGCCCGTGTATGCTCATCTCACCACTGAATTTTTTCTGTCATAAAGCACAGAATAGACGCCAAGTGTTGTACAGAGACAGGGGTCGGAACTTGATAACCAAAATAATCCTGGCCCATATGCTATCACAACCCGTACCGGCCTGAGTATGTGTGGTTTATTGTATTTTTTGCGGATAAAATGTTTATAAAGAGCTTTTCACACTACTGAGAGGTTAAATGGCTATATACTTGAGAAATTTGTTGTAAAATTTTTCTGTTACACCTTTATCAGGTGATTTTGGGGGGTTTCCTATCTTGTTCTATAATAAGGTGAGTTACTGGTGGCTCGAAGACTGATCACATCTACTCCAAAATAAAAGTCAATATCGGAATGACAGACGTAGCTAGTCTATGAAAATACAAAACGTTGAGAGCAGGAATGAAAGAAAATTGTACGAATGTACAATAAGCATATACGTTTTAGATTTGGGTGAAGATAAAGGAAATGTGCAAATCCACCAAGATCTTCTCGATTGAATATGAGTTGGGTGCCGGGGAAATATTTTTGGAATAGTTATACACAATCACTTACTATCTAGAAACGGTAATTAAGAAAATTGGAGATGAAAACAATGCACCCTTTTCTGATGCCACCCGCCTCAAAAATTTCCATTAAGTGTCGGAAGACGCTTACGCGAGTCCTTTGTCTTCGAAATTCATTTTACGACATCGGAAGGCCATACACATAGCCAAGCAGATAAACTACGTTCAACTTGTAGAAGAATCGCTAACCCTTGCTTTTTCACGCGTGTGGTCTATCGTATCGACATTTCCTTTTACCTCCATGTTGTGTGCTTTCTTCAACTCCAAACGCTTTTCCATCATCACCCAGAAATTTTGACCCCAAATTTTGTCCATCACGTCTTGAGCAGCCCCTGAAATGTCAAAAATGGAAATGTCGTTTTTGTCAGACTTAGCTCTTTCACCTTACACACATTCCTCTGTCTCTGATCTACGCTCCAAGTAAGGGTTATGACGTCACTCTCATAATAGTCAGCCAGTCTCGGATCAATTAAAACCTTTTTGCCCACGTAACGTACACCTTATCCACCGTTTGCTTCGCACCTCCCTTTCCTGTTCTTACCGCATTGTAACACCCCTCCTTTGCTCGTTGAAGTAAATGATCCTGGTTCAGCCATGTCCATGGGCGTGTCTGTTCCAAACAAAACACGGCCGCTTTCGAAAAATTCCAGGGCCTGATAGAATGAGGGAAGGACGTTGAAAAATGAAGAAAGAAAACAACAAGAAGTCAATCCCAATGTGTAATAAAGCTCCCTCAGAATCGGGGTTGGCGTGTAGAGTAAGGAAACTTCAGCCCGAGGGAGAGGGACGAACCTGCCGGATATTGAGCGGGGCCAAGCCGAAGGTGGCGGTATCACAGTAGAATTTTTTCATGTCGTCCAGCAAAGCAAGACCCTCTGTATCGTCAAAATTTTGACTCTGGGTGATAAATCGGTCAGTGAAGAAGGGAATCATCCCTCCGTGGTGGTGCGTGACAACCTACAGGTAGTGAGGAGGAAGAATGAAGGGCAAATTGAGCCGAGAGTGCCACGGTTGAGAATTCTCACATGTTTCCTCAATCTGTCTGGCTCTTGTGATCTTCCTTTTTCCCGCCAGAAGCAACGAGAAACGTCCCGTACTAAATCGACTCAAACCTCGCTCGTCCCTCATTCCCTCATCTTCTCCATCTCTCCCTCCCCTCCATCTCTGCCTTCCAAAGTACCTTCAAGTTCGGATATCGTTGAAAAACTCCCGCCATCACCATGTGAACCATTGCCACACTGGTGTCATAAACCCATCCTACCATAATGAAAAGGTTTACGTAAAAACAGGCGAAGGAGGGATGATAAAGTTTTGAGTAAAAGATGTAAAGCACTCCTTCTGTATCATAAGGACGATGTAAAACAACGAGGATTGCTTGTGATCGACCGCATATTCTTACTTCCAGTCTCTCTCTTGCTTTGTCTTACCGAGTGTATTCCATATCTGATGCAAGCTTCCTCCTTTTCCCCTATAAGCTTCGTAATCAGGATAAAACTGAATTTGAAAAAGGAGACGCACGGAAAGAAGAGTGAGAGAGAGGATACCGTATCGTTTAGCATGAGACCACTGTTTGTTCATGCCTCTCCCCCCTTGCCTTTTTCATTCTTTCCCTTCCTCCCTTCCTCCCTCCCTCTCTCCTGACCTGAGGTCTATTGGGATGCAGCCACACAGGAACACCGTCTTCTTCACATCTTTTCCATAGAGCTTCGAAGCCAGGGTGGTCGAGTGGCGAGGATAAAGGGCCCTTGGAATGGGAAAGGGGAGGAAGAAAGGAAAAGTGGGGGGGAAGGCAGGACGGAAGCGAGGAAGCCTAATCAAAATTCAACGACAAAAGTAGACAGAAGAAAAAATCAATACAATCACTCACCACAAACAGCGCGACCCCGTCTAGGCTGCATGTCTCTACGGCATGTTTATACGCCTCCATCAAAATATCCATTCCATCCTTTTCATGGCTCGCGCCCTCCTCCTCGTCCTCCTTTCCGGGCCCCTTCAAGTGCCCGGTAGGTAGAAGGGCAACACCCAAGAAACGGGTCGAATGAGATTGGACCACAGCTGCCATCTCATTGTTCGCACGTTTGCATGCCTCTAGAGCTCTGTGGTAGGCATTGGTGGATGAGCTCATATGCGGCCGACCTCGATTATTTCTTGTTTGATGCCATGTTCCGTGAGCTTCATAGTAAGATACATATCTTACATTTTTGCCATTTAATTCTGCTACAAGAGACCTACAGGCTCTGACATGCCCTTGTGCTTACCATTTCCCCGATTCCTTCAAGACATACCTCTCCTTATTTGTGTGACAGGCAGGTACGACTTCCAGCCAAGGAAGAGGAACAAGAACGTGGACGTCTATCTTATGAGTGTCCATGAAAGCAAGCCTGGCCGATACATCCGTCAGCAGGGGAATCCCTGATAGTAGGGTTACAGTTGGCAAAGGAGTTGTTACTTAAATGACTTCGAGGGCAGAGAGGGCGGAGCCGATAAACGGAATACAAAGAGATGACCAACTCATATGTATTTATAGTCTCTCCCTAGTCGAATGCTCCTCGCCCTTCATGATTCCTGTATCACAATTTTATACCACAATGCTACGGGGAGTAATCCTATAATGTCCTTCCTCCCTCATCTTCCGTACGTTCGAATAACTTGGCAAATACCAAAGGCATCCCGTCGTTGCAGTCTTCTTGCAGGTATTTAGCCAAAGCTAGTGGCGCATAGTGAGTGTAGGCATCGACGATTCCGGTGCTAGGTGCAGATGAGCCCATGCCTAAGATGTGAATATAACTTGTACACACGGTCATGGGTACAGGGACGCGTTTTAAACATGGCGCAACATTGATCAGGAGGACCAGATGTCAGAGCTCACAACAATGACTGCTTTTTTGGTCGTACTGATTCTATTAAGCGCCCAAATGGTTAAGTTTGACACGTAAAAACCACCCATTACACTGTTGCGACGCGGACAACGGGTTTCGACACGCTCTTGGCTTTTTTCTTGTCCGGACAATGAAAAAGATTTTGACCGCCAAATGAAGGCACAGACATCCTATAACAACGAGGTTAGTGAAAATTTACATGCAGTAGCTTACACTAGTCAGCATGGGCATCCAATCGATCTATCCCGCTTTTCACAGGAGTATGACAAATAACACACAACTCCTTACGGCGGTGAGAAACTATGAGAAAACGCGCGAGAAAGTACTACAAAGCCGACCGTACTAGTGTACTTTTAGCCCCACAGCTCTCCGTGTCATGCAGAACTCACGGAAGCGTTCCGCGTAACCTTGTGAACCATGCCTCAAACCACAATACATTAGCTTAAATGCGAAAAAGGAGTGGGGAGTCGTGGCACTTATCGCTCAGATATCCCCTGCCTCGCCGAGTATAGAAAGAGATGTCTAGGCTTTGCAGGTCAACCAAGAAATATCCCTTGCGTGCCAAGTTTCGTGCCATGTGCCCCACGCAAAAGTCTCGATTTTAAAAAAGCTCTTTTCAATTGGAGGGACGCAGGAGTTTGTTTCCTCCAGCATCGCGGAAATTACTCGAAAGTTGCTCGAAGAAGAATTCCGCCTGACCTCTCTACCCTGCTTTGCTTTCACGGTACTTCCACAAAGCCGAACAGGAAGAGGATAAACCATGGGAATCAAGGGTTTGACCAAACTCATAGCAGACGAGGCTCCGGAAGCTATCAAAGAGCACAAGGTAACCAAAATATTCTACCCTTTTCCCCTTGTGAACCGCCGCTATTGCTAGTTCCTGCACATTGATGTAAATGCTGTGCTTGTCTTCGCATATTTTGTCAACTACATTCCCTTTCAATCGACTTCTTACATGTCCGCTATCACATGCCATTCGTATTTTTCATTATTTCCCTGGAAATTTTCAGGTAGAGCACTACAATGGACGCACTGTCGCTGTGGACGCCTCCATGGCAATATACCAATTTCTGGTAAGCATTGTAGGGAAGTAAAAAGGCTCTTGGAGAAAGGAATCGCCTGTTTCTCCTGCCTGCGTGAAGCAGAAAATCAGATTGTGACACATATCAGGGAGCAAACCAATTGCATTGAGTCGCCCATTTCGTGCCTGGACGGTGCACATTTCTGACCTTATTAAACGGTAATGCATCTGCAATAATCCATTATTGCTGCCCGTTAAATCGTTACCATAGATTGCCATTCGTCATGGCAGCGGTGGGGCGGCCGCCTCGCAGCTCACAAATGAAGCGGGGGAGGTAGGTTGTACGCAGAAGAAAAGGGGGGAGAAGAAAGCAAGATGGTTATGGAGTCCATTTCGCGAACGCTTCGAATTGCTACGTGGGTGCCTACAAAAACGAGATGGGGAGAGATGGTCTGGAAGAAGGATAAAGGAACGAATAGAGGGAAGGGAGGGGAAAGGGCAAATAAAGCCCTGCACGTGCCCCTTCATACCAGGGATAGCGTGCCATCTTATTCCCTCGCTCTCCTCTTTCACTTCAAGGTGACCTCCCACATTCAAGGCCTTTTCAATCGAACCATCCGCATGCTAGCATCGGGCATCAAGCCCGTCTTTGTCTTTGACGGGAAGCCTCCCACCTTGAAGGTAACGCGATTTTTCTCTCCTTTGCTCTTGGGTCCGTACCCTTTCCTAACATTATCTCCGCGAATACCCTCCTTCTCCAATATCTCCACCTTCCTCCTCTAGTCTGCTTTTCTCCGTTGATTGTATACTCTTCTCTCCTCCCTTACAACCCGCCGCGCGCTCCTCAAACAGGGTGGGGAACTTGATAAGCGCCGGGAGAAGCGAGAGAAGGCGGAGTCCGAGCTTAAAAAGGTACGCCTTACCTGCCTTTACCTTCCCCTTCTCCTCCTTTTCTGGCTCTGCTTCCCTCCTCCTCTCTCACTCCTCCACCCTCCTTTCTATCCCCCCTGCCATCCGTCTTCGCCTTCATTCTGCAGGCTCAAGAGGAAGCGAACGTGGAGGAGCAAGACCGACAGAGCAAGCGGCTGGTGCGGGCGGGCAAGAAGGTAACTGCGTAAGGGGGGGCGGAGGAAAGGGATGAAGGGGGGGGGGGAGGAGGAAAATACCAAGGGAGATCGATATCAGGGAAGGAAGGATGGTCAGTGGGTATGCTATAACACCCAGAGCTGAGCTTTTCGCGTGCCATCCCGTTCCTGGTTCCGCGCCTCCCGTTTTAATTGCACCGTTCTCGGTTCCTTATTCCTCGACCTGCTCAGGAATCAGCCGACTGCAAGAAGCTTTTGGAGCTCATGGGCGTCCCCTGGTTGGAGGCCCCCTGTGAGGCGGAAGCTCAATGTGCTGCCCTGGCCAAGGCAAGACTCGACCTTTTTTTATTGTTTCCTCCTCTTGACGTGCTTATCGACTTCTCGCGGTGATCATTCTTAAATCCTCCTCGCTTGCTCCCTTCCTTCTCTCTATTTCCCCTCCACCCCTGCTGTGCTTTCTTCTCTTAGATCGGGAAGGTCTACGCCGTGGCGACGGAAGACACGGACACTCTCACATTTGCAACGTGAGTGAAGCTCGCGTGGTTTTCATTTCCCTATTTCCTCCCTTTCATACTTCCTTGCCTTATTCTCTCCTCGACTGCGATGGCGAGCGCTACCGTGACCTGCGTGTCTCTCAGCCCTCTTCCTCCGTGCCCCCCATCCTCTCCCTCCCTCCCCTCCTCCTTCCTTGCCAGGCCACGCCTCCTCCGGAACATGACCAGCGCCGGCGACAACCCCATCAAAGAAATCGACTACAAGAAGGTTATTTTCCCAATGTCACTTGAGAATATCGTGCTCTGTGTCCTTCTTTCCTCTCTTTCTCTTGCTCTTTCCTTCTCATATGTTATCGAGCGAGCCGTCATACATTGAGTTGTCTGTCATGAAACTTGGACGGGACGGGTAAGAGGTTTGTGTCCCGCGTCGCCACGTGAAGCCATTGAAATGGCACTCACAATATCGAGGTCTTTGGCTTCGTCCATGGTTTTCGACTCCAAAATTTGAGCACTCAAACCCTCCTTCTCCCTCTATTTTCAGATGTTGGAGGGGTTGGGGCTCACCCATGCTCAATTCATCGACCTCTGCATCCTGATGGGGTGTGATTATACGAGCAATATTCGCGGGATTGGGCCGAAGAGTGCCTTGACCCTCATTAAAAAATATGGTGACATTGAACATGTCCTCGAGAACATTTCTAAGGTGCAATCTCTCTCCTCTTCCCCTGGTCTTGAGTTCCTTCCTATCTCTGGTTTTTCATGAAGCTGGTGTATGCGACAAAAGAAATTGCAGATGAGACAATGACTCGCTCTTCAACTTCTTTTCTATCTCCCTGCCCTTCCAATTATCCAGGGAAAGTACCAAGTCCCTCCCGAGTGGCTTCCCCGGATCAAGGTACGCAAGCCGTCCTCCCTCCCTCCCTCTGCCCCTCCCTCGGTATCGCCTGTGGAGGAGGGAGATAAAGCCATGCCCGGCGATGAGAATGCCTGCAAGACAGCAGAAGTGGATTCGAAAGCGGGGATGGAGGGAGAGAAGGAAGAAGGAATAAAAGCGGCGGCGATTGTGGCGCGAGAAGTTGCTCCCGATGAGCCCGCGAAATCCGTTGAGGGAGAAGTGATGGAGGTAAAGGAAGAGGGAGAGGGGAAAAGAGAGAGAAAGAGGGAACGTCCGAAATGGACGACGAGAAATGCTAGCTATTGTTGACGTTAATTTGTTTACCATGTTCCCTTGTAAATTATGGGGCAGGAGGAGGCGGAGAAAGGCTTGGTTGGGGGGCACGGGCAAAGGGTGGGTGGGAAGCGGTAGCGTAATCGATTTCATTTCTAAAGGTGCCATATTTTCTTTTCTATGTGTTATGCAGGAGGATGGAGACGTGGTGGAGGGGGCGGAGGAAGGGAGCCATGGTGCGGCGGAGGCAGCCGGGGAGGGAGGGGAGGAGGAGGGGGAGTGGGAGTGGGTGGACCAGGTCAGACGGGGAGGGAGGGCGGAAAGGAGTGAGAGGGGAAGATAAATGGGAGGTAATACGAATGAGAGGGAATGAGAAGGAAGCTTCGATTGAGCATCTTTGTCAGATGTCGTGTCAAGGCTTTCCCTGGATCGCTTATCGGCGCCCCCTTGTCCTCCCTTCTTCCCTTCCTCCCTTTTTTCTCCTTTCCCCCCTCTTTGCACACCCAGATGCCCGCCTACGTGATGGCACGCGCTCTTTTCGTCCAACCAGAGATTCATGATCCTGCTGAACTGAATTTTAAATGGGTGGTACGCATTGAGGAAGGGAAGGAGGGGGCAGAGGATAGAAGGGAAGTCAGAGCCGCAGCAGGTGTCAAGGGGAAGAAAGAAGGGAAAAGAAACCCTTTACAGCTCTGCGAGAAGCTCATGATGGAGCATGCAGCACCGTACATTCCGATCTGATCTCCTTCTTTTCATCCTGGAATTCTTTGCAGCGCCCTCTTCCCGCTTCTCATTTGCTCCCTTCCTCATCTTGTCAGGAGCCCAATGAGGCGGGTCTGGAGGCTTTCCTTATCGACAGCTTGGGATTCAACCCTGATCGTGTCAAGTCAGGCATTGCCAAACTTAAGGTGAGGATGTGGGGGGAAGGAAGGGGAAAGACGGCAGAATGGATGCCTGTTGCTTGGACATGTTGAAATAAAAACCTTCCCTTTCCAAGGACGAGGTGCTCGCTCTTTATGAGGATCCTTCTCTTTTGTTGCATCTCTCTTCTGATGTCCCAACTCACCTTTTACGCATACTTGATGGGTTCTTTTTCCCTCCCACCGTCTTCTCTCCAGGCCTCCAGGGGGGCCATGCAGCAGAAGCGCTTAGATTCCTTCTTCAAACCATCCGGCTCCTCTTCCACGTCGTCGACGACGCTCAAGAGGAAGGAGGCCCCCGCTGCTGCGAAAGGAAAAGGGAAGGCGAAATTCGGAGGGAAGAAGAAATGAATGTATGACGGCGGGGAAGGTCAAGCGGCAAATAACCAGCATAGGAGCAGCATGCGTGCCATGTGTCCCAAGGGAGGAGGGAGGGAGGGAGGGAGGGAGAAAGAAGCGGTCAAAATCGACGGGGGAGGACGAGACCGAGGGAATACCAAAGGCATCCC